GCGTTCCCTGTTAGTTTTCTTCTGATCGGTACTGTACAACTTGTATGTTGCACACACAGAGCTTGTTTTGCTTGTTTTGGCCAGTGTGGTTGTTTTGGGGCTTTTGTTTCAAACGTGTCAGTCAGTGGCTTCATTTCTGCCTCAGTCGTTCCATTTCATTCTTTCTGGTTTTGCTGGTACATGCCAAATATATACAAAGACATATCATTAGCCATGCATATATACACACCTTGTCTCCTTGTGGTCCAGGTTCTCCTGGGGGGCCAACCTATCATTCCAAGAAAATGAAATTCTATTTACAGATATGCATTAAACTAATTATAGTTTGTTAATATACGAGAGAATTCTTTAAATTTTTCTCCAGGCTACTAAAACTGAAACATGCTCAAAATCAGCACCTCCAGGATAACAATCAACTATTACATAACTATATTTTCTTGATTAAAAGCTGGGTCCCGAATAAATGCCAGGTCTTGTGATACATACGTAAATAAGACCCTCAATTTATTTGTATATTGATGTATAATAAACTTATAATTAGCTCGTAAATGTAATGAAAAAAAAGACTAATTAACTCCAGGATCGAATGAACTACAAAAGTCAAATAAGCACTGGATCAACAAAGCTGAATTTAAAATAAGTACAAGAGGCATTTAATTGAGACAATATATTTACTCGTTAACAAGTTTGGAGGGCTTTCAACAAAACACTGACCGCTGGTCAGCAGACCCCCTACTCACCCCCTACTGATGCCTTACTGACCCCCTACTGACCCCCCTACTGACACCCCACTGACCCTCTTACTGACCCCCTATAAATCAATGGGAAAAAGAAAATTTAATTAATAAGCCCACATTTGAAACAGAACGAGACGATGCCAAGACAGGAAGTATTTCTCCACTCCCTTGGTACAAATTTCCTCTATCATGTAATGCACTCGTCATGGTATCTCCATATCAGCAGTATGGCTTATCATGCATCACCTTGTCCCTGCAATGCTAAGCTTTAGTTAAGAGTTCATATAAGATGGCCACACCAGCCTCTAAATATCGCGGCTAAATTCAGAGGTATAGCAGGCTTTCCCCTTGTCGCAGGATGCATTGATGGAACTCATATCCCTCTGAGCCCACCTCATAATAATGAAGAGGCCTACGTCAACCGTCATTATCCTAAATCTCTGAATGTCACCATGGTAGCACACCCCGATTACACCATCTACTTCTGTAGCAGTCAATGCCCTGGAAGATGGCATGATTCACGAGTGATTAAAGAAAGCACTCTGTGGACCACCTTTGGGCCACAGGGGCATAGACCATTTTCAGAAGCACTTATTCTAGGTGACTCTGTCTAAACCTGCAACAAGTGGTTGAACCCCCATTTCAGAGGAAATGTAGAAGGAGCTCACCTCAGGTTTAATAAGGCACATAAGAAAACATGTTGAAAGGGCATATGGCATTCTCAAGAAAAGGTTCCACGCTTTACAGATGGGAATGAGAGAGAGAAACATGAAAATAGTCGCCAAGCATGTCCAGCGTGCACATCACCTCTACATTCTATTTAGTGACAACGGTGATGATTTGCTTGATGATTCAGATCTCAACATTGGTGATGATGAGCTGCATGGTAGGACAGACGGCAACAGCTGCTAAAACTCAAACTGTTTCAAAATCATTGACAGAGATCAGTCCACAGACAAAATACACCCCTTTTTTAGATAATTAATGCCGTGTTTTCACGAGAGAGGTTTACTACGGTTACTGCTT